CCAGACAACTTGGCTTGTGCACCCAAGAGGAGGGGTGGATCTGGCTCAAAGCAGCAAAGCTGAGTGCAACCCAACTATGCGTTAATAGGGGACATAAACCACGCAACCCAGCTGTACGTTAACAGGAGGAACCAACTATGCATGACCAGGGGAGATGAAATGTGGTAGAAACCCATTTGAGGGAATGCTTTGTAGCAGTAAATATGTGCAAACCATGGCTCCATGTTTCAACATAACAGAAAGTCCCTGGCAAGGGTTGGAGGTCCAGAGGGAACACCCCACCTCAAAGATACACAAAACTATTCAGCACAGCCTGTGCCAGTGCAAAGAACTATAAGCAAAATGTAAAGAAGGGAACTGATGGAGAATGAGAACATTCTAGATAGGATTGCTGAGGATGGTGGTGGGTGGTAGGAGAGAGGAGCTTGCAGAAACAGTCAAGGGGTCTGTGTGCGGAGGTGCAGATAGCTGAGCTGGGGTGGATGCTGTGACCAGGTATCCTTTGCATCGTGTGCACAATTTATATGTTCTTTTGGATATAGAAAAACATTTTTTAAACCTTGGTTTTAGATGATAATTCAGAAGAGTCTGGCCCTAGCTCCCCCTCACCCCTCCAGATGAGCTTCATGCTTAAAAACTGATTTAAGCAAAACCTCACTCAGATAAGTCAGCAAGAATGAGCCCAGGGGATTTAGAGAGAAGCTCTGAAGAAGGAAATATGCCAAGTGAGGCCTTCTGGGAAGCCACCGGAAAAGTCTCCCCTAGGGAGGACAACGTGACCCAAATTGCTGCAATAAACTACAGTCCGACTACCCTGAGATCTGTGTCCTCATGGAACAGAAGGGAGACAGCAGGATGCCTTGGCAAAAAGCTGGCAGAGCTGGAGACATGGCAGGTGTGAGGGGGTGTTGGAGAGATCTCTGCTTGGCTCAGAGACAGAACTTGGCTTTCTGTGAGGCTATGGATGCGGATGGACAGGGAGCAGACATGTTGCTTCAGTTGGAAGTTACTTGGCTGCTCAGCCCATGCAGATGTGCAAGTGTGATAAGAAATAAAAATAACTGACACCCAGACGATTCTTCTCCGACCTCCATCTGCAGGAAGCTCGGGCTTGCGCATGCGCCGTGGGGCTCTGTCTCAGCGCATCCTCTCAGCTCATGGCCTTCCAAAGATGGGGCCTGAGTACACCTTCCCTGAGCTGTTCTTGGAGCAAGCTGCCTTGGACAGGGGAATATCTGGACTCCCTCAGCCACATCTCTACCTTTTGTCACCAACTGAAGCTGTTTGGATCCTAGTGTCCTGTGCTCCCAATTGCTACTGTCCTGATGCCCTGGTTCAGAGCCCCGGGCTTCAGTGATTCACCTTTGTCAATATCTCCCAGGCCAGAGGCTTTGTTCCTACTGTCTCTGCTCAGCATGACTCTCTCCTCTCCTCTCCTCTCCTCTCCTCTCCTCTCCTCTCCTTCCCTCCTTTCCCCTCCCCTTTCTTCTCCTTTCTCTTCCTCTTTTAAAAGATTTATTTTTATTTTGCATATATGTGTGAATGTCTGCATGTATGTAGGTGCACCACATGTTTGCCTAGTGCCTGTGGAAGCCAGAAGAATGCACACATTGATATCTCTCTTTGTCTATTAGCATAGTTGAAGGAAAAACACATCCACCATAGAAAGTGTTAGCAAGGGGCAGGAGCAGCCAGTCTCTCACATGATGCTTTTGGAAGACTAAAATGGTAGCACTATGGAAAAGCTTGGCAGTCTGTTTAAAAAACTAAAAAGGCAGCAGGCAGTAGTGGTGCATGCCTTTAATCCCAGCACTTGGGAGACAGAGGCAGATAAATCTTTGAGTTTGAGGCCAGCCTGGTCTTCAGAACAAGTTCCAGGACAGCCAGGGCTACAGAGAGACACCCTATCTTAAAACAAATGAACAAACAACAAAACTAAAACAAACAAAACACTGAACATGCAACTCCAGCCTGGGAAGCAGATCAGTGCCTTCTCAGCCACCAACAGAGACTTTCTCCTGCAGCAGATGGAAACAAATACAGAGACCCACAGCCAGACAGTGTTCAGAGAGTGAGAGACCTTGGACACTCAGACCTAAAGGTGATGTCGCTGTCAAATCCTTCCCCTCGGAGAATCCCTCAGAGGGGGAGGCAGAAAGAATGTTTAGAGAGCTGGAGGGGTTGGAGGACACCAAGAAAACAAGGCCCCGAAATCAACATGAGCAAGGCTCATATGGACTCAGAGACTGAAGCCTGTGTAGGTCTGCACAGGCCCTCTGTATATATATATATCATGGCTTCCAGTTTTGTGTTTTTTATGTGGCTCTTTGATTCTTGTGCCTTCTCTTGGGCTCTTCCTGTCTGTTTTATCTTATTATCCCTTAGAAACCTGTTCGTTTTCTAATGAGAGACACACAGGGAATAGATCCAGATGGAAGGGGAAGTGGGGAGGAACTGTGGGAGTAGAGGGAGGGAAAACTATAAGCAGACTATATTATGTGAGAAAAAAAGATATTTTCAATAAAAAACAGTAGAATGTGACTATGAGGATAAATAAACCAAAAAATGAACATATAGTAATCATAGGACTTGGTAACTACAGTCTTGGGGATCTGTGCAAAGCACTTACGTGTGCACAACACTAGTGCATGGATGTCCACAGCAGCTTTCTTCTCACCAGCCCAGACTGAAAAGCATTCAGATGTCCCTCAGAGCACGTGGAGGACAAAGTCCCCATTCACCGTCGCTGGGGAAATCCTAACTTAAAGCAGATGCGCGCGCTTACAATAACTCGCCACAAGCACATGCAGCACTCCTGAACCAGATGCAAAAATTTAAAAGACAGCTAGGGATCCTGTCGTTTAAATTCTTCACTTTTCAGTCAAGAGTGTGCGCCTTCCACCAGAAGCTCGTTGCTCGCCCTAATTGCTTCCATTCATTTATGAGGAATTTAGCCTGATGTTGGATTGGAGTCAATGGCTGACATACCTCACCACACTACTGCAGCCACCTGGAAGAGCAGTGCTTATTTCCG